TACTTTCGCATGATCGATTGGGACATCCTGGATCAATTATGATGAGACAGATTATAGAAAACTCAAATGGGCATCCATTAAAGAATTTAAGGATTCTTTTAAATAATGAATTTTCTTGCACTTCTTTTTATCAAGGCAAGTTAATTTTAGACCATCACCAACAAATGTTGGAATTGAGTCCCCTGCGTTTTTGGAACGTATACAAGAGGACATTTGTGGACCTATTCACCCACCTAGTGGGTCGTTTAGATATTTTATGGTCTTAATAGACGCATCTTCTAGATGGTCCCATGCGTGCCTATTGTCATCTCGCAACCTCGCGTTTGCAAAATTAATGGCACAAATAATTCGATTACGGGCACAATTTCCCGATAATCCAATTAAGTCTATTAGACTTGATAATGCAACTGAGTTTTCATTCCAAGCATTTAATGATTATTGCTTATCAATTGGGATAAAAGTGGAACATCCTGTAGCTCATGTTCACACTCAAAATGGCCTTGCAGAGTGTTTAATTAAACGTCTGCAATTGATAGCAAGACCGTTACTCATGAAAACGAGGTTACCCACTTCTGTTTGGGATCACGCCATTTTGCATGCAGCAATGCTAGTTCGTCTCAGACCGACAAATTATCATAAATATTCCCCGTTGCAATTAGTTTTGGGTCATGAACCTAATATATCCCATTTAAGAATTTTTGGATGCGCAGTATATGTGCCTGTAGCACCGCCATATCGCACCAAAATGGGTCCGCAAAGAAGGTTAGGAATATATGTTGGGTTTGAATCGCCCTCCATTATTCGCTACCTCGAAACATTGACGGGGGATTTGTTTACTGCACGATTTGCAGACTGTCGATTCGATGAGACACTTTTCCCAAAATTAGGGGGAGAAGCTGGTGAAACCAAACGGAAAATTTTGTGGAAAAATCCATCATTATCTCATCTTGATCCACGTGCCTCTATTTGTGAAAAGGAGGTGCAAAAGATTATTCATTTGCAGAGAATAGCAAATCAAATGCCAGATGCATTTACGGATATGAAAAGGATAACAAAATCACATATCCCTGCAGAGAATGTTCCAATCCGTATTGATGTCCCTTTTGGAAAATCTTCTAGTGTCATAGCTAATGAGTCAAAAGCACGCCTAAAACGTGGCAGACCATTAGGTTCCAAAGATCGAAATCCTAGAAAAAGGAAAACAAATGATCAAAATGACACTACGAAAGAATCTCATGAAGAAATCCACGATTTAATAAATTCTGAGATTCATGAGGAATCCACTGAGCCTGAGGCTCAAGAAAATAAGGAACTATCAATAAATCCAATCGATATTGAGACAAATTTGAATCGAGTGGATATAGTGGTGGATTATGTCTTTGCATATAATGTTGCATCTAGCATTATGCAAGAAAGTGAGGATCTCGAACCTCAATCTATTGGAGAATGTCGACAAAGACTTGATTGGCCAAAATGGCAAGAAGCAATCCAATCAGAGTTGAATTCACTTGCAAAACGTGAAGTTTTTGGGCCTGTAGTCCAAACACCTAATGGTGTTAAGCCTGTTGGCAATAAATGGGTCTTTGTACGCAAGAGAAATGAGAAAAACGAGGTACAAAGATATAAGGCACGCCTTGTTGCACAAGGATTTTCACAAAGGCCTGGTGTCGATTATGAAGAGACATATTCACCCGTTATGGATGCTATAACGTTCCGTTATCTCATTAGTTTTGCTGTCCATGAAAAGCTTGACATGTATTTAATGGATGTGGTTACCGCTTACCTTTATGGCTCACTTGATAATGAGATATACATGAAAATTTTCGATGGATTTAAAATGCCAAACGCACATAATTCAAAGTCCCGGGAAATGTTTTCAATCAAATTGCAAAGATCTTTGTATGGTCTAAAGCAATCAGGACGAATGTGGTATAATCGTCTTAGTGAGTATTTATTAAAGGAAGTCTATATAAATGATTCCATTTGCCCATGTGTTTTTATATAGAAAACAACATTGGAATTTGTTGTACTTGCCATATATGTTGATGACATAAACCTTATTGGAACTCCTATAGAACTCCAAAAGGCAATTGATTATTTAAATAAAGAATTTGAGATGAAAGATCTCGGAAAGACAAAATTATGTCTTGGTTTGCAAATTGAACATTTGGCAAACGAAATTTTTATTCATCAATCTACCTACATAGAAAAGGTATTGGAACGGTTTTACATGGATGGAGCACATCCATTAAGTACCCCAATGGTTGTTCGATCACTTGATGTGAAAAGGATCCATTTCGACCTCAAGAAGAGAATGAAGAGCTACTTGGTCCTGAAGTACAATATCTTAGTGCAATTGGTGCTCTAATGTATCATGCTAATACTACAAGGCCTGACATAACTTTTTCAGTTAATGTCTTAGCAAGATATAGCTATGCTCCCACAAGGAGACATTGGAATGGAATCAAACACATATTGCGGTATCTAAAAGGAACTACCGATATGGGCTTATTTTATGGCAATAGTTGCAGTCCCGATCTTGTTGGTTTGCTGATGCTGGGTATTTATCTGATCCATACAAGGCTTGATCTCAAACAGGTTATGTGTTTACCTGTGGAGGCACTGTCATATCTTGGCGATCGACTAAGCAATCAATTGTGGCTACTTCATCTAATCATGCTGAGATAATTGCTATTCATGAAGCAAGTCGAGAGAGTGTGTGGTTGAGGTCTATAATACATCTTATTCGAGACAAACGTGGTTTGAAATGTGACAAACTACCCACAATTCTATATGAAGATAATGCAGCATGCATAGCTCAATTGAAGGGAGGATTCATAAAAGGAGATAGGACAAAGCACATTTCACCAAAGTTATTTTCACACATGATTTTCAAAAGAATGGTGATATCAATGTGCAACAGATTCGTTCAAGTGATAGTATGGCTGATTTGTTCACAAAATCTCTACCAACGTCAACCTTCAAGAAGCTAGTGTACAAGATCGGGATGCGAAGGCTCAAGGATGTGGATTGATGCTCTCATCAGGGGGAGTTAATGCGTGTTGGACTCTTTTTTCCTTACAAGGTTTTGTCCCACTAGGTTTTCCTTGCAAGGTTTTTAACAAGGCGACCAAAAGGCGTATTGTTAGATATGTGTACTCATTTTCCTTTTCTAGAATTTTTTTTCCCACTGGGTTTTATTTTAGTTAATGTTTTAACGAGACACATTATCTGTTGAATAGACATTCAAGGGGGAGTGTTATAAATAGAATTTTATTTATGGTGAATGTCTATATTTAGAGAGATTCTAGGGTTTATTACTTGGTGGCTAAGTCACCATCTCCCTATAAATAGAGGGTTCTATTCCATTGTAATTCATTCCAAATCAATAAGAATTCTCTCTCCCTACTTTTCTCTGCAATACTCTTCTTCTTCTTTTATTGTTTTATAATTCTAGAATGGATTGCTACCTATGCCTAGAACACGGATAAATGGAAATTTTATTGATAAGACCTTTTCAATTGTAGTCAATATCTTATTACGAGTAATTCCGACAACTTCAGGAGAAAAAGAGGCATTTACCTATTACAGAGATGGTGCGATTTGATTCTTTTTTCTTTTATTTCATATTTATTCATTTCTCTCAGTCTTACGAGGAGAAAAACACGTGATTCGAGAAAATTTTTGAAAAAAAATCTACACTTTTTGAAGGTGATGTTTGGAAATAGAACAATTCCTTCTGTCGTGTATCCTCGATTAATGCAACCTCAGATGCTATGTTTCGATTCTCGATTCTAGTATTAAGCGAAAGGTTACGCCTAGAGGTTCAGTATTACGGGTCAATCCTACTCTACTAGCGCTAATAGGCAGCATAGGGGAAGAAGCACTACACCTAGGAATCAACAACACGAAAACTTTGTTCTAAGTCAGCCCTTCCCTCAGCGGGCTTGGGACTAAAAGAATGGTTGGGACAACAAACATCCATCTTTTCCAGTAGCTGTTCTTGCAGTTGCAGTTACATATTAAATTCCTTTTTCTGAAATTTTTATTAAAATAATAATTATATTTTCTTAAACACTGACAAAAACCAAAAGTACTCATTTTTACGGTCTTATGGGATCAAACCGCTAAGCAGTAATTTAAGGATCCGTTTTAATCTTACCCCTAAATATAAGGATCATTATTTTTTTCATTTTTCTCACATTTGAGCTAGGTTTTATACAAATACGGGTTGAAGTTATTTTTGTGATAAGTGAAGCAATCAAAGTAAAATAATTTTTACATAACAAAAGAAAGAATAATAGTTTTTGGGTGATGAGCACAAAGGTGAATGACCACCCATGAATTTGCTCTAATTTTTGTCGATGTTTGTGATTTCAAATATTGGACAGATTTTTCTCCATATTATGTTGTTGAGAATTGAGCGCAAAATAAAAAGGAATGTTTCCATAGACCCTTTCCCACCCAAAAGAATGAGAAAGAAATTTTAGAAAATCTGCATATTGTTTCAAGTTTGCAAGGAAACAAGATGAGAAGCTTTTCCAAATAAAGGGGGATAAAATTAAAAAGTTTCTCAGTTGAAAGAGATAATTAGAAGGAAAATAAGAGGTTATCCATGGTTTTAGACAGAAAATTGGCGCAAAGTTAAGATATTTCGACAATTTTCATTTTCTTTTTATACTTTGCTTGTTCTCTTCCTTCTCCCCTTTCAAGAAAAAAAAAGCATAAAGAAAACGTATCTTCAAGCTTTTGTTTAATGCCAAGGAAAGTGAGGAAAAATGAAAAAGAAAAAGAAAAGTAGAGATATGTTTAAAACTTCAAATATTGAATTTGAAATGGTAGAAGTTATATTTGAAACTTGAGCATATATTGAGACATGGAAATAGCATTTAAGCCACTCTACTTAACGCACCTAAACGATTAGCTAGAGGGTTAACAGATTAATTCGTGTAAAAAAAAACAAACTATTATGGTAATCAGATGTCTGTAAGGACAAGTTATGAAGAGTCCATTTTGGCACGAATTATGAATAAATTAATAAATGTTTATGCAGAAAAATGGCTACTGCCATTGGTATATTCACATACATTTCACTCTTTACAACAAAAATAACAGCATTCTGAAGCTGAGTTTGCTACAGATTGTTAACTAGCAAGGTGTAAATCTGCAAACATATTTGTGTTGCTGCTGTTGCTGATTTTGACACTGTATATGGCAAGATCTTGCTTTGTCTCTCAACTCTTGGAATGCTCTCATTGTCTCCACATCAAAACCTCCCGCAAACTTGAGAAAAACAAAAAAAAACACAAAATTAATTAGTACTACGAGACAGCATGTGAAAGAACAAAATTTTCATTAAAATGTTTGTTTCTTTTTTAGTGTAAAAAAATCTTTATTATACCTGATGTACTCGAAAGGCGAACCTAACGCCTTGAATTATAAGCTCTTCTTCTTCGGGACCACCACCACCAACCATTTCTAACTCTGCGGATACCCTCTTCATGTACTTCATGGCTAATTTTACTGATGCCAGCTTTATCTGCAATAATGCAAAAACAAAACAACATAACTACCTCACGTTATCACCAATTCCCTCTTTGTGTTATTTCTCAATCAAAGCAGCAGCAGCATGGTACAAAATTTGAGACCACACGGTTTGCAAGAAATGGGAAGGTTATTAATACTATACCATTTTGCCCCACCTAACAGTGAAAAAAGAGGAAAACAGTAAATTTTACAGGCAAGTAGAATGTCTGTGAACTTTGCCTGCTCTTAATTATGTCATCTTGCAGGGACAAAGACCAACAAACTAGATATCACTGCGTAGAAACCTCAATTGCTAAGATCAATAATTGACCATGAATTTTATTAATCCGGTTCGACTCGGCATGGAGTTTAAGAGAAAAAAGGGAGACTTTTGAAACTTGTGGTCTTAAAAGGTTAAAGCATAAAAACTTCATGTCGTGGGCCATGACATTATGTGGTTATAAAAGTTTCTCGTTAAGGGTAAAATGAAAAGTCTAAAGTTAAATTATTTCCAATTATAGAAATATGTCATTCTTTTTTGAACGGACTAATAATTGAAAAGAAGGGAGTAAATTTTATTAGCATTGATAAATCTTGAAACCATGAAAGGGAAAGTAAAGAACCAAGGTATTGCCAATTAGGAAGCTTCTACCTACTAGAGGCTCAGAGGCTCTTTGTTCAGTGTTGACTGCTTAGACCAACACAATAATTTAGTTTCAGGTTAATGTGGCATTAAAATATCCAGATCTAATATCATAGGGATCTATAAAAGGTCAACACTAAGAATCTGATTCCTTTTTTTCCTACTTACTACCAACACTAGTATAAAAAGGGATGCAGACAAGCAAATAGGTTTTGGAAAACTGGGAACTTAGCATGTGCGCATGCAGGCATGGGCATAGTTAATAATAAGGCAAAACTTCCCCATAATTTCTGTCATCTAGTAACCTCTAATTTTAGAATAATACAAAACAGATACTATCCCATGCTACTTCCCCTTTGGCTATCCATTATTCAACGGCATGACTAAACCTCCATGGACCAGACCAGTAACACCAGGAACCATCTTCAATTACCATTATGCTTTATTTTATTTTTCTTTTATTTCGGTTCTATTTTTCTAGAAAATTCAAGAACGATGTTTCGACACACCTAGCTTCCGTGCATTATGCATCAATTTTTAGAGCCTTTTGGGAACTATCACTAGTCTCATTTTTAAATAGTCAGTAAAAGATTTTAAGGCACCAAAAGAAGCGCTACCAGAAAAGATGGCAAGAATTGAGGTCCCAAGTCAACTTAACATATTGTGAAGACATTTTTATATGGAACATCAATTGGAAAATAATACATCAAACAACTACAACATAGTAGAGATCATAAAGGAGACAAGAATTTATTTTTTTAATTACCTGAGTAACATAACCAGTATCCAGCATCCACTCAATTGGAATTTGGAAGACTTTATATCTCTTTGAAGCTGATTCTCTCATTCTTGACAAATTGTAAAGTCCATGCTCTAATCTGTTTAAATAACAACAATTGACATTAGAATGGAGAACAATCACTACTAACTACCATGTTTCATTTATGATGCAAGGTCTCATTAATTAATTTAGAACTAAAATAATAATAACAGTAAATTAAGAGATAGAGCAAATTTTTACTTCTCAAATAAGGCCTGCATTTTCTTAAGAGCTGTGCCACAGGGTTGTCTGGGATTATCGCGAAAGGACGATGCCTCAGATTCAAGTTTCTTTAGATCACAATATCCAAATGCAGCTTCTCTCAATGCATCAGCCTTTTGCTCCGGCCATTCGAAATGTTTCAGAACAGCTCTTTCATCAACCTGAAAAAACTTCAAGTCATCAAGATAGATTGACCAAGAATATACAAATTAGAATATTAAAATGAGAAGAATTTTACCAGGTAAGAGAGCTCATCATCAAGCCATTTTACAAAAGGCACAACATCCTCAATATCTGCGAATGCAGCATTTTCCACTTCTTTGATCAAAAACCTTATAAAATCTCCTTGTGTCTCAACATCTGTTTTAATCTGCAATCAAGGAAACAAAAAGGGGAATATAATCAGAAATTAAATATACTAACCATACATATAAAATTTTACAGTTAATCCTTATTAAGTGCTACAATTTTTAAAAGATTTTTCATCACAGTTTTGAAGTTTACTAAAGTTAAAACAAGTAGCCCTTTACTTTCAACCATCTTTAGGCAACCTCATTAGTATGTCATTTTATTTTCTAAAATACTCCATCAATTCCACAATTTGATTTCACTTCCCAATAGTCAAAAAATTACATTTTGATTAATATCTTCAACTATTATATGTTTTTACTGTTAAACGAAAGAAATGAAGTTATTAGCACTTCGTATGAAATAATCAAAATCCCTAATTTTTGTTCAAATACTAATAGATCTGAAGAAAAAAAAAAATCAGTTTTCACTTATCATCCCATGTCATTCATAAAGATCGCGAAAGCGATTATTCTTTCAATAAATTGACTAAATTGCCCAGAGTGAGTTGGTGAAATTACAGCTTTTCCTGATTCATAATTGCACTTTACCTCTACCAATATTGATTCGAATCTACATACTGTCTTATCTTGTAAGAAACTAAGCAAAATTCCAAGAAAAAGTGCAATAGGGGTACCAGAAAAAGACATCACAGACTAGTCATTTTCATTGACAGTAAAATGCAACAGGGAAATGGCAAAGCAGTAATTTAACACAATACCGTGGCCAAAGAACTTACCGCCAGTAAATAGGCAGACCGGTTCTCAATTTCTCCGATCATATCCTTCGCCGTGGCTGTCGCTGGAGCATCGGCGGCACCACTTACACCGGCACCGGAATCTCTTCGGCAGTCCCTCCGCATTAGAGAGTGATAAAATTCCACCACTTCAGGTATACGCCTAACCTTTGCTGGCACAGGCTTTAATCCTTTAGGAGGTGGTGGTGGAGGTGGAGGTGGGCCTGTTTTGACCACCGCCGCTGAAGGTGGTGGCGGAGGCGGCGGTGGAGGAACTGTTGCCACCATTTTGGGCGCCATCGCTGGCGGCGGAGGTGGTGGAGGTGGAATGTTAGAAATTTCAGCTAAAGCACGTTCAGCTGAATCTGATAAAGAACTATACGACGGAGAAGATGAAGAAGAAGATAATGAAGACGATGAGGATGATGATGGCAATATCGTCGACGATGGCCGTGGTGGTGGTTTAGGAACACGGGGAATACGTGATCTCAAACTCATAATGCCAGCAGATATCTCAGCTAACTCCTCAGAATTACTCCGAGAATGTTTAGGCCTCTCACACATTTCCATTGCACTAACTATTTCCTCTTTCATCTCACAGTCTGGTTTCGAAGTCACACTAATGCTAGGTTGAGTCACGCATTTTCTCAAATACTTGGTCATGTTAGATTTGTTGTGAGCACCATTATTTGTTACAGCATCCACAAGCCTATGAGCTGATAACTCTTCATTAGCTTTCTTCAGCTCAGAGATTTCAGCTTCCATAGCTTTTACCCTCTCTTCATGCCTCCCGTTTTGCTTCACTAGCTCAATGTGTAACATCTCTACTTCTTGTCTAAGCCTTTCATTTTCCACTCCCAAGCATTCAATCATCCGTTTTTTCCGTTCGATTTCTGCATCTTTTAGGTTGATCTCACTCTCCAACACTGGAAGAATAGCAACTGATTCCTTAAGCAGTTTCTTCTCGAGGAGCTCGGTTTTTAAACGGGACTCTCTTTCGCGTAACTCTTCGACTAAGCGTAGGAGCTCTGCAACGTCTGGTGGACGAGGCTGGACTTGGGCGGAGGAACGGGGAAAGTAGACACCGAAAGAGCGAGAAAATCCTGCACTTTTGGGAGTAGTCTGCTGTTTTGTGCAGCTGGGTGATGGAGAAGGGGGCTTGGGAACTGAATCTTGCTTTGATGGCTTTGGATTTGCAGGTGATTTCTGTAAACCCATAGCCGTTTTTACTTTGCCAGCAACCATTGTTGCATCTAACAAACCCAAAGAGCTTTTTTTACTCTGTTTTCTCTCAATATGTATAATCTCTAACTATTGGTTTTCAAGAATGGTATGCCTATCCCCTCAAATTTACAAAGGAGAAGGACTAGTCCCTATCTATGCGCCTGGAAGAAAGGGGGTAGGGGGCTAGGGGGAGTAATAGGGGTATGAAAGAGTAAGTGAAGATACTGTAACTCTCTTCAGTTTATGTGTTTTAGTATAGAGGGTATTTGTTTGTTGGAACTTTGAATGTGTAAATGATGCAGCGATATCGATGAACGGTCTTCTTTTCTTGGATCCGCTTTAATTTTTTATTTTTAACAAGAAATAAAAACAAAAAATAAGACAAAAGCATTTTTGCTAAAGTTGAAATATTTTGACTCATCCACGCGCGTAATTGAGCAACTATTTCACCTTTACCCTAACGTTTGGAAACAGACATAATAGTTCCAACGGTCATTGTCCTTGATCAAAACTTCCTCTATTTTATTTTAATTTGAACGTACTGAGAATCTGGAAATTAAATTTTTGTAGTACAAATATTTTTAAACATTTTTGATGTCTGTTACTAGAAAGAACGATTTATCATGAGTTTATCTGCGCCGAGCGTCTATCGAAAATAGTCTTTCTGTACTTCCAGGGTCGGTCGGCTGTGTATATCTTATCCTCTCCAAATCCCACTCGTAAAAAATCACTGAATTTATTGTTGTCGTTACCCGCATATAACCCTTCAAAACGGAGTAGCAGTGCTCTCAATACTATTTCTTTCTTTTTTTGGTAATAAAAAAATCCTCTTATAAACATCTCTGAATAGGAATTCCGTATCTATTTCAATTGCAAAAGTACTCTTGTTAATATTAATTAATAACGAACTTACACCATCAACAGAAAAAATGAATATCTTACGATACTCTTTTAGAGCTAGGTTACTGATACATAAGATTAAAATATTAAAAAAATTATCATTAAAATTAGGTTATGTTACAAAAAAAATCAATTCTAGTAAGGTAAATATAACATCTCAAATCACAAAGATAATTATGTTATCTGGATAATTTTGAGGAGTGATTTCTGAAATTATTACTGTAAACTTATAGTAGTGTTAGCTAATTGCATAGATACATTAAATTTGAAGGAAAAAAAATTAGCATCACGCGCCGAGTGAGAGCTTAAGATGTGATATTTATCTATTCTCTCGAGTGCTTTATTTTTGTAGGAAAACCAAAATTTGAGAGTGACTCTACTAAGTAGGCGTTTGGACATAAGAATTGTAAAATCTTAAAATATGTTAGAAAATTTTTTTCAAGTGAAAATGGTATTTAAAATTATAGTTGTGTTTGGACATAAATTTCAGTTTGGGTTGTTTTTTGAAGTTTTGTCAGTGATTTGAGTGAAAATTTTGAAAAACAGTTTTTTGGAGTTTTTTAATTTTTCGAAAATTTTCAAAATGCATCTTTAAGTAAAAATTTGAAATTTTATGAACAAATGCTGATTTCGAAAAAAGTGAATTTTTTTTGGAAAAAAGATAAAAGAATTGTATGTCCAAATGGGCTCTAAGAGAACATTAGAAAATTAGTAGGAAAATGGAAACACTGTTTCTAACGGTCAGCTTATCAGTACGTGAGAATTTATAGTTTTATCGCGAGTGGAAGGTCTCGTGATGTTATTTAACGAGGGTAGTTGGTTTGAATTTTTGAGGTAGGTCTCACTTTTAATTAAGAGATCTCTTATTATTTTGACTGTTTGCTTAGGGTGCATTATATGTTTGGCTTCACTTGGAAATGCGATAGTAACCTTGATCTATAACAAGATATTCTTGTTTTTTGTTGTTTTTAGTTATATAGGAGGAGGGTAAAAAGGAAGGGAATGTTACTGTACTTATGACTATGAACCTCCATCTTAACTAAACTAGGCATCAAGTTAATTAGCGGTAAAAAGAAAGAATTTTAAATAAGATGAGGAATTCGGTGTTTTTTATTCTGACTGAAACGTAAATTGTGTTATTCTAATGATGTTGTAGTGGAGAACAAAAAGATGAATTTCCAAGCTATGAGCTTGTGAATGGAAGCACAAAACAAGATATCGGCTCACACAAATACCCCGAGAGAGCAATTAACTAAGCTCTCAGACCGTAAACGGAAAAAAATATTGTATGATCATTTAATTATGAAATTATTATATATTGAACTCCTTTAATTACGAAATTAGCATATTTTATATCTCAAAATGTTTAGAATGGAAGAATATGTATATAGTCCCAAGAAGTAGAGCATTCGGTAGGTGTTGAATCATTGGCCTCTAAGTCAAAGACTCACTATGCAGTTCAGCATTGTATTTAAGCTTATTGATCTTAATTATGACACAGAAAAGACAAAGGGGGGGGGGCTCCCCTGCTCAATTACGACTAACTAATAAAGACGACATTACTAACAAGTTGCACAATGAACCACTGACTTCCCTTTCAATTCCAGCATTTAGCAACATGAGTGCTAAATTATGTTTTTATTTAATAATCCAGATCGATATATTGAAGAATTAAACATGACTACTTCATGATAATTAATTAGTGCTCACGATTTGATAGATATGGCTCTTTAATCAATTTGTGTGCTATTATTTACCGGAATGGAGTTTGGTCAAGCATAATCATATTAAGCATTATTTTAGCAACCACACCCCATTGCTTGTGTGGTAAGCTCAAAATCTGAAGATCCCTAAGGTTTATTGGATTATTTTTGAAACCAATATAGCTTTGTTATGAGCAAAATTTAGCAGTTGATTTCACCATATGTAGATAATTTCGTCATTTGCACTAGTTTTTGTTTGACCCAAAAGTAGGTTAATACTTTTCAAGCAAATCAATCAATGTAGATGAAGGGGTAAATCGTAGTCAACATTAATTGATACTGGATCGAAGAACATAATCATACATATAGAAGAATCAATTAAAATGACACCTGGAAGATTTGTATTGATTATAAAAATTCGGCCTGCCTCTCCTTGAAGAGGTTCAGGAGATTACAATCAAATTCTTTTTCTTCTCCTTGGAGGTGGAATCTCCTTTCCTAAGATTGTTTTTTCTCCTTGTCTCGCCTCCAGCCCCCCCCCCCCCCATAAGGGGTTCTTCTTCCTTCTATTTATAGCCCAAAACTCCTCATGCTAGTCACATTTTGCTTGGGTCGGGTCGGGGAAATAACCTCCCCTCATGGGGAGGCCTCGACCTCGACACTTATGTCATAAATAGCAGCCATTAGGCAAGGCCGAATTTGTTGACTGCTGCTGCAGGGTGGTCGGGACGGGGTCCTTGATGCTGTGGTCGTGTGGTCGAATTCTGACCAATACAGTTAGTCCCTCCGTTCGTCGGGGTCGTATCTTACCGACCTCGGCGGACGAATAATGTTTGCGGCGTAATCGTGGAGGGAGTCAAATCCGCGTGTTTTTCTTCGGTCGCGTTATAAATTTCGAAACTGCCCGGAGGCGTCTCTTTAATGCTTCTTATGCCGTCACGATGGTTTCGAAATCGAAGAGTCGGTTGATAAACGAAACGTAGCTTTGTATCGGCGGTCACAGCGACGCACGTTCCCGAGGAGCTGAATCGTTTCGTGCCCGGCCAGGTTCTGGCGGTGACCGTTGGTTTTTGCGCTCCGGAGAATTTATGTCTTATAAATTGAAGGGATTTGTCACTCGTTTCTCACACTTTATTGCTTATCTTCGAGAGAATTCCCAGAATATCTCCCTTTCTACTAGTCTGAGTTTTTCTTGACTCCTTTGCTCGCGGTAATCTTGAGCTTTCTCGCCTCTTCCTCAAAGTTCCTCCCTCCTCTTTTTGTGAGTTAAAAATGACTGGAACTTCTTCTTTCGGTAGACTTCCGGCTATCTCTCCGGCGGTCGGGGACCCTGTTCCGGCAGACGGAGACGTAGACCCGATGGAGTGCGAAGATGTTCCTTCGATCGAGGAGATTTTATCCCGCTCGGGGAAGGCAGTGGTGGATTTCAACGCCGATGGTGGTGCGGAGCAGGTAAATATTCCTCCTCTCATAGGGGAGATCGGAATAGCAGATTTAAGGGCACGATGGGGTATTCCTGGTTATGTCGAGATGGTGCCGGCGAAGAGAGAAGATAGGGTCCAGATCGACCGTCCCGGGTTGTGCTCATTCTATGCTTACCCCTTCCTAGTGGGGTACACACTTCCGCTTCCAATGTTGGTGGTCGACTTCTGCCGTTATTATGAAGTATGTCCTGCCCAACTCTCTCCTTACCTGTACAAGTTGTTCCTTATGTTTATCAAGTACGCGGAGCTAGCCAGCCGGGAGGTCACTCTGAGACACGTGCTCAGCCTGTTTGCCCCTCAAAAGATTCGCGGCACTATGATCCATGCGCGTCCCCGAGGGTCGAAAGGTTTAGTGGTCAAGATGGACGACAGGACCAACCGCCGTTTTCTCGATAACTTTTTCTACGTGCGGACCGAGCATCTCGTAGCGGATCCGACTGGGTTTCCAGAAGTGTGGAATTTCGCCCGTAAGTCTTCACCCTTGACTAGTAGACTACCCACTTTGGCCTCGTTTTCTTTATATCTCATGTAAATATTGATCTATTTCGATGCTTTGCAGCCGAGAAGTTACCCCCGCCTCCTCTGGAGGGGATCCGAGAATAGGTCGAGGCCATTCTTCCTCATACGGCGGGAGTTCGTACATGGTCAGCGTTTCATCTGAGATTCGGACGTAGGCCCCTCACAGGTGAGATAGCGCCCTTATTTTCTACCCGTTCTCTTTCGTTTCGATCTTACCTTTCGAGTATTGTTTGCCGTGGACAGGGAGGGTTCGCAGAGTCAGGGCTCCTCAGCTAGCCTTCCGTTGGCCATCCGCGTCCGCTCGTATCAGTGCGGTACCTACAACTCATCCGTCGAGGGAGGCGTCGGTAGAATCTGTGGCCTTGGCCGCTCCGACCCGGACTGTATCTCCGGAAGAGGGTCGGTCTGGTACCGTCCGTCCTTAGAATAACTCGCCATCAGCCGGGGAGGAAGAAGGGCCGACAAAGAGGCGAAAGGTAGGGTTTGAGATGGTCCCTCCGGCGGTGATCAACTTGGATTCACCCCCAGAAAACCCAGAGGAAGGAGTTGTTGCGACGTCTACCGCTGAGGGGGAGCAGGTGGTCGTGGTTGTTCCCACTAGTTAGAGCCAGGAGAAATCTGCTGGTGTAGCGACCTAATCAGGAGTCCCCGCTGTTTGTGACGCAGGACCTC